CAGAAGTCTGAATAACCAAATTAATCTATTGTTTACTGTAGGATAAATCACCAACTTCATCTATTGTTCACAAAAGTCTGAATAACCAAATTAATCTATTGTTTACTGTAGGATAAATCACCAACTTCATCTACTGTTCCCAGAAGTCTGAATAACCAAATTAATCTATTGTTTACTGTAGATTAAATCATCAACTTCATCTACTGTTCACAGTACACCAAATCACCAACTTTATCTATTGCTCACAGTAGGCTAAATCATCAAACTCATTTATTCTTCACAGAAGTCTAAATATCCAAATTCATCTGTTGTTTACAGTAGTATAAATCATTAAATTCATCTATAACAGATCAAATTAAAGATAATGATTTTATTTTTTCCACCTGGTAACAGTTAGATTATATTTATAGCTGTGATTTGCTTTTTTCAGATATATTTCCCACTAACTGGTCAATGGCAGAGGTTAGTTTAACAATATTTAAGTGATTTGTTAATTTCACAATATCTGGAAAACTATCAAAATACTAAAAAATGTCATAAAATTTGGTTTCATTCTTACTTTGACAAATATTCTGAAGTCATTTATTATCATGTCAAATTTCTCATGCTCTTTATGAAATGGTAAATAGTTTTCCAAAATATAAATTAATCTGTAAGTACAAAACATAGTAGTTATTATAGATATCTTTGTAGGAAAAAAAGTTTTAAAACTTGCTATATAAACTCAGGGGGGCAAGTTTACTTGAAATGTTGAAAACTTCAATATGTTAATATCAACAAGTGAATACATCCAGGTAACAACTGCAATTTTACTGGCAATCGGCTAGTTCACCTTGTATATTCTATACACTGATATTTCCTGCCACTTGTAACCAGCACCTGCTCATTCTATGAAGCAAGAAAATGAGATACAATATTTAGCCCTTCTATGAAAATCAAAATTATAAATACTTAAATCATTCTACGTAGTTAATTGCTACTTTCTACTTTCTTTTTTTTTCATGTAAATTACAGATTGCTTTTTTAGGCCTACTAGTTTCTAATGGTTCACCAGTTTTAGGCATGTAAAATATTTAAAGATGTTTAACAATCATGAACTATTTAAGCTGATAAGCTCTGCTGAAGCATACAAAAATGCAAGATAGATAAAGCTATAACTCAAGAAAACCTACAGATAGCTTGGACACTTTTGTAGCTTTCTGTTTCATCTTCATCTCTTTCACTGGGAGAAGGGGCATGTTTAAATCGGTATGCTACTCCATTGAACTTTGGTTTTTCAGGAGAAACCATACCCTCTAATTCCTCAGCTATTACTCTGAATGATGGGCGATGTTTAGGATCAATCTAAATATATAAAATATACAATCTTTAACTCTAAATAGCAATAAAAATGCATTAATGTAAATTTATGTCTATTATGCTAATTTAATAAAACAAAAGACATAAAATGTATAACAAAATACAGATAGATTTTTATTTTAAATATACAAAAACTTCCAGATATTCAAAACTGTTCACACCAAAATTCCATTTCTTTCAATGAACTCGGAAGTAACTCTTATAACACTGAAAAATAAAATCAGCCTTCAAACAAAAATTCTGCATAGAATATACAAGTTTTGAATTCTTACCCTACAGCAGTGCAGTGCTAATTTTAAAAAACCAGGAGGACAGTCTGGACACATCTTGCTGAAAGCTTTATAGTCAACTCCAAAATTCTAGAAGATTGCCAAAGATAAATTAAAGACATGACACATAATAATTAAATCAAATACTAAATAATGTTATTTATTTTGTTTTTTCATCAATAATTATATCAGGCAAATATTTTTTCAGTTACATCTGTTGTACACTATCCAAAAGTTGTAGTACATCCAGTGTAATATATTATGTAACATGCAGATACTATTATGCATGTACTCCTTATCAATTAAGACCATTTTTATTTATGTGGTTATTATAAAAAAAATATTGAGTAATGGTGTACCATTTTCATTTTGTCTAATCAGACATGAAGTATCATTTCAACTTTGGAAAAATTTTTTTTTTTATGAGCAATTAGTAAAAATGTTGCATATATGTAGCACTACAAGAATAATAAGCATACACAACAGTATTATCTTAAATTATACACCTACTTCTAATAAATATTAAAACATGTCTCAGTTCTACTGTTATACATCAACAGCTTCACTTTGAAAAAAAATGTCTTTAGATAGACTAAGTAACTATAGTACATTATACCTCTTTGATTTACATAGAATACATATGAAAAACATTTAGGAAGTTGAGAAGAAGGTAATAAAATAGGGATTACCAATATCAATAATCTCTGAAAACAAGCTTATTTGAATTATTTGGTATTAGGTCAATTCAACATCATAATATTGTTCTTTAAAAAATCGTTAATATGAAATATTTTCATTATATTATAAAAATAAATGAATATCTTAAGAATACCTTAACTGTTGTGGCCTAGTGGTGCATGATCTGACAGACTAGAATATGATAACTTCAAAACACAAGCTTTTCATATATAATCCTTTGCACCCTCTGTTACCTCTTTTCTATGAAGCTTTAAGAACATGGAACTATAATTAAAAGGCTGATTTTCTTAAATCCAATAACTATAAAAAAAATATACTATTGCAATTTAGGGTTTTCCAGCACTTTAATTTTCACATATTAGAAATTAATATTTTTCACTTGAAGGTGAAATAAAAAATGTGATGTTTACCTCTACTATAAATGTTTACCTATCATCCTAGCTGTTTCCAAAGTTCAGACCTTTAAATTGGTTTCTCTGTTTACTCTCTACTACCATTTAATGCTTGGCATTACATGATCTGCAAAATCTCCTTTAGATGACAACAGAATGTAATTAATCATGTTTTATGCCCTCTATCAGAATAATGTCAGTCCAATTAGCTTTAATCACTTCTACTTCCTATAAATGAGTTGCTATTTCACCTTAAGTTATGGTGGAGGTAAGTTCTTGTTTTTCAAATCAAATGTGAAATAACCTACAAAACATTTTTGATTTATTTTTAATCAATGATAAATCAAAAACAAATTGTTACAACAAGAACATAATTCTATATTAATAACTTAAGTTTATTAATACCATTTTGTGAAAAAGTTAAAGAGTGCAAAAAAATATTCATGTTCTTAGTAATAATAATAATAAAATATTTCAATAACCTCAGTCCTTGGCAAGATGTCTGGGTCTGCTTCAATTCTGGCAATCAACTCACATAGAACGATACCATAAGAGAAGATATCGGCCTGTATAGAATAGAATAAAGACATGTTGAACAACTTTCTATACACTGATTGCAAGAACATCACAAATTAAGTGTAGAACTGATATTGTTATCATATTGATGTAAAGAGAAAAGATCAGAGACTTGGAGTACATATGTTAACATGTCTGTTCAGACTGGTAATATCACCATATTGGTGCACACAGAAAATATCAGAGAATTGAATTACATATGTTAACATGTCTGTTCAGACTGGTAATATCACCATATTGGTGTACAGAGAAAAAAATCAGAGAATTGAATTACATATGTTAACATGTCTGTTCAGACAGGTAATATCACCATATTGGTGCACACAGAAAATATCAGAGAATTGAATTACATATGTTAACATGTCTGTTCAGACTTGATATTATCACAGTGTTGGTGTACAGAGAAAATATCAGAGAATTGGAGTACAACTGTTAGTACATCTACTTAAACACTGATATTATCACAGTGTTGGTGTACAGAGAAAATATCAGAAACTTGGAGTACAACTGTTAGTACATCTACTTAAACACTGATATTATCACAGTGTTGGTGTACAGAGAAAATATCAGAAACTTGGAGTACAAATGCAAATAGGTATGTAACTATGGCTGATTACTACAAAATTTTAGACAACATAGCACAAAAAAAAGATGTGATAAAAAGCTAAAACAGTTCAAGTTCAACATTCAGTGGCAGACTGGCTAACAAAAGAACATTGTGAACTACCTTGTTCTGGGTAAAACAGTTCAAGTTCAACATTCAGTGGCAGACTGGCTAACAAAAGAACATTGTGAACTACCTTGTTCTGGGTACTACTTGCAGACTGGCTA